AATGAATGAGGATTTCAGTCTGAGGGAGTAGTGTGGGCAAAGGCAAGCAGTATGGAAAAACCAGGCCCGTTGTGCCCCTTCTGATCTTTGATCAGTGCCTGCTATTCGCAGCAGGCACCCAATACATATTTGCTACGCAGATGCCTCGGTGACTGCGCAGGAAGAGAATCCGAGTCCACTTAAAGGGTCAGTTAAAAGTAGAATGATCAGGGTGTAGTGGAGAGAAGCTTACACTAGGAGGTATAAGAACTCTTCTGGTCCTGCCTCTGCCAATAACCACAAAATGACCTCCAACGAGTAACTTTCCTGCCGAGAACACTTACATGGTAGTGTCTAACACTTACATGATAGCTTAAAATCCTGAATTGATTTAGGGGGTCTGTTTGGAAACTACGTGTCTTTATAAAATCCAGGTATCTTTTGTAACAAGATGGAGAGATTTCTTTTATCAAAGTAGCTGGTATCAGAGTCCCTATCAGAAGGGGATCTTGATTAGATAAATACTTTATGAAGGTCGGGGACAGGATTGAGGGCTGGTAGAAGGTGAGACCTCCAGGGCCTAGGTGGTGACTAAGTGGCTCCAGAGAAGAGAGCTGCTCTGTCATGACACAAAGAATTTGTATGCAGCTCCTGACAGGGAGGACGGGATGAGAGAACGAGAGAGAAGGGAAGGAGAAGATGGAGAAGATGAGAGACTGGGTACTGTGCAGAGCCAGAGCCAGGGCAAAGCGAATCCACCCATGGCGAGGTGACGAGCAAGGACTTTAGATCTGTGCTCCTCACACTGTAATGAACTGAATCTCAAGACCTTGCTAAAATCTAGATTCCGATTTAGCAAGCCTGGGGTGGGGCTCAAGCTTCTGCATTTCTAACACGCGTCCAGGTTCTACAGGTGCTGCTCCTCTGACCACACCTGAGTACAGAGCTAAGAGAACAGGAAAGTCTAGTCCATACCATTATGAGACACGAAATGTGATTCTTCTCGATGACACTCACTTTTTGTATGATACACCATGCTCATACATGCCTTTAAAAAATTATTATTTTTTTATAAGCAACCTGACAAGTCACAGAGCTAAGACAGACACCAGACATGGAAGCAAGGACTGAGGCGGCGACCCTAAGCCCCCAAGAAGTCATAGAATTCAGATCTCCACAGACTGTGCAATTTGGAGCAAAACTTATTTAGATCTCAAGGGACAGGAAAGAGCCAGAGGATAGCTATCTGGGTCTTTGATATAAAGCCCAGTCAACTTAACTTCCCCTTCTGAAGGTCTTTCTTCCTGTGGGTCCTGATTTGAGGTCCAGGCTTGCTGACCTAATAGTTTTGTACTGAGTCCCTTCCCAGAGAAAGTGGCCAGACAGGATGTGCTAACACCTGTACAGCTCTCATACTTTTATTTGAACCTGGTTTTGTTACATGTTTTGCCAACTGCTGACACCGGAGTGCGCTGCACTGCAATCGGCAGGCTCGCTGGACAACCTGTCGCCACTGGTACTTGAGATTCATATAGATGCTAGCAGGTGCCATTTCAGTGTGATCTGTCTGGGCAAAAGGCTGCTTTTCAGAAGGAAGTGGCAGCATCTGGGTGGTGAAGCGCTGCTAATTGATCTAAGAGCCTTGTTCCTGACAGGCGGAGGGAGTGCTGCTCTGTACCAGCGCCGACGAGAACTGCTGTAAGAGAACACTGGTCCTTTAGACAGACGCATGTGTGCACTTGTCTGGCTTGGCATCTACGTGGGGCTCATTGCCATTAAAAAGGGCTTTGAGGTGATAAACTAGACTTGGTTATATGAGCAGTCATTTCTCTTTCTTTTAGGAAACCAAACAGCTTTCCTTTTCAATTCTAAGAAGTCATTGTACAATCAGCCCCTGGGCAAACCTTGTCACTGTGGACCTTTCATGACAAAGGCGGCCACAGGATGAACAGAGGATCCAGCCTCTTAGAGTGATCGGGGTGTCCAGAAAACAAGGGGGCTCTGCCTTGTGAAGACTTTTTAGGGGGGAGGCTTGTTTTTCATTTTGGTAGAACTGCATAAGCAGATTTGGGAGAAAGGATGTTATCAGAATATATAATTAGACCCTCAACTTATGAATATAAGTATATCAATGTTTTTTAAGAAATGGATGCATTTTAAATTTTAAAAAGTCTTCTAGGTGGCACAGAGTCCAGTTGTGTGGTTCTCCAGAGCTGTGGTTCTTGATGTAAAAGTAGTGGGGAGAAGGTGGATGGGATTAGAACTGGGAATTATGCATAACCTGCATCCTATTTTATCTATTCTGCTACCTTAAAACAAAAACAGCAATGACGACAACACACACACACACACACACACACACACACACACACACACACACACACACACAGGATACGACTCCCGAGAGTAGAACATGATCCCACATGTATGTGTCTCCCTGGAGAAAAAAAAGGTCCAGAACCACGCCTCACAGTCTAGAAGGCTGAAAAGGAACCTCAGTTTACTGAGGCTGACACTCGTTTGGCAGAGAAGTAAGAGACATACCCAAGGCTATATGGTAAACTACGCTTAGAGCTGTTTTATTTCTCCGTGTAAAATTCATCTCGATAACAATTTTAAAAAAAAAATTTCGCTCAATCATCTATCATTTAAAAAATTAATTGGGTCATATGAAGAAACTGATAATATCACATTAAAGTAACGACTAACAACATTTCAAACTAGCTTCTAGTGTGGCTTTTAGTCCTAAACTCCTAGGCTCAATAACTGTCCTAAAATTTAAGTGTTTTTTCCTTCAACTAACTTATTACAGAATGCCAAAGATCTTTAATCTCCTTGGTGGGCTATGCTATAAACTTGACCTATTTTTGGAAAGTTTAGGAAATGAATATAGGAAAAGAACCAATGTTATTCTAGTTTATATGAAAATTTAAAGAGAAAAAAAATATCCTGCCCATGACACAACAAGTAACATTTTAGCAGGAAATCTATTAACATGGCGGAATCTTAAAGTATGAAATAGTCACGCATTTTACTCTCCTTTTTTCCTATTATCTTAAGGGAAATTGGCCAGACAGCAGCTTGTGACACAGTTTAGACTGTCTTTTCTACAGCAATTTTTGCAGCTCCCCTGTGTAACAGGGCTCACAGTATAACAAGGTGAAAAAGTCACCTGGGATCAGAGCTTCGACAACATCTACTTCGGGTCCTGTGCAGCACGGGGTGGAGAGGGGCTCCAAAAGACGGACGGAAGGAACCGGGGCTGCTCGCCCAGGAAAGAAGAGAGTTAAAGGACACATCGTTCCTGCAAACCTCTGAAGGGTTATTGTAGGACAGAGAGGTACCCTGGAGCGTCCCCCAGCCCCCCGTCTCAAAAAACCAGATCTAAGATTCCAGGATGGGGATTTCTATAAGTCAGTAACTTAGGAACCCAGCAAAAATTTTAAAACATTTATCCATGAAGACACATGCACCCCTATGTTCACCAGCATTATTCATGGTGGCCCAGACATGGAAACAACCAAGTGTCCTACGATAGATGATTGGATAGAGAAGCTATGGCACAGATATACAATGGAATACTACTCAGCCACAAGAAAAGATGAAATACTGCCATTTGTGACAACATAGATGGATCTTGAGATTATCCTAAGAGAAATAAGTCAGATAGTAAAAGCTGAGAACCATATGATTTCACTCATATGTGGGATATAAAACTGAAAGCAACAAACAATACAAACAAACAAAAACTCATAGACAGAGATAACAGTTTAG